CTCAGCAAGAAAATTGTTTTGTGTTGTGTGGGAGGCTTTTACTAAACAGTAACAAAACCTGCCTCACTCACCCTTAAGGCTGCTCACCCACCATTAGTCTGGTTGTCAGTGTTCAGAGTTTTAGCATTGCTTTGTCCAAATCAGGCCTAAGCTGAGTATATTTTCTTCAAATTCAGCTCCTGAAGATAAGCCCCAGCTGCTACCCCCAAATAGAGCGGAGAAGAAAAATGGAAAGCTGCATGATTAATGCTACATATTGAACATCGGGCTCTGTCTAAGAGGTTAGGTGTGAGATTTACAGCAGCTTCCAGTTAGTCATAATTCAGGTTTGACAGACAGGTGGGAGACATAGTTCAGACAGGAACATGCAGCTTTTTCTCACAAATTAAAATGGATCATAACAGTGATAATGTCCTCTTGAGAAACAGATGTATGTTAGCTGATGTGCTGATCAGTACTTACACTCACTCACTTGCACTGAAGGCCATGGGGCAAATGTTTGATATATATTGCCTCCACCCCTCACAAAAAAATTAATAAAATAAAATAAAAATAATAATTTCCTCCCACTGGTGACCCATATTTTCCTTTTTAGATGCCTGTTATCTGATGAGATTGAAGGGTTCTTTCACACCTAACCTGTTTGGTTCAGTTAAAACAAACCCTGATGCATTTCCGTGTTTAGTGCAGTTTGTTTGGGCTGATCTGAAAAATGGAAATCAAACCCTGATGCAGACCAAAGAACTGGACAACTTCACCACTTCCAAGCAGACTCTGGTGCGGTTCTTTTGTGGTCCACAGTATTCATATCGACTGTATGTTGAATTTTTTCCCCAGGTTCAGTCTGTTGTGAGTTGTATCATAGGCCTACAAGGCATAAATTATGGGATGAAAAAAACATCACTCTACAAATATTGGTATTGGCATTGATTTTAATTGATTAATTCATTCACCTGGATACACATAATGCACACACTGTACACCTGCACAAACTGTTGCAACCTCTGATGTCATGTTGTGTCAAAGCGTGTTGATTACCACTTTCACACATAAAGTGGGAGGGTGGAGCGCAGGTAGGCTCTGATTTCTTCCTCCACCTTGTTCCATCTCTTTGCCTCTGCTCTCCTGGAAATCCTACTCATAGCTTTCTGTCTGCGGCTTGCTCTGTACTCCTTGTGTTGTCTTTATTTACTTCTATTTTTCTTCAGTTTTTTTAGAGCTGAAATTATTTGTTTATTGCAGAAAATAAATCAGTAACTACTTTGTATTTTTTTAAGCAAGAATGCCAGAAATTAGTGTTAGCTTGCTCTGTGGAGATGATTTGCTTTGCTATTGTTGGTTGAACAGAACAGGCAATTTGAATGAATCATTTCAGGCTCTAGGAAAGTGTGATTGATATTTTTCATCATTCTATACATTTTACAAACATTTTGTGCATCAAATGATCAATTGAAAAAATGGTTGGATTATTATTATGATTTTATAATGAAACAATGGTCTCAGCCCTACTGTCATGATCCATATCACAGTTAAATGTATCAGGAAACTATAACTATTTTCTTTTAATAGGATTTTGTCTATTCTGTCACAGATTTAAATTGGAACATTATACTAGTAGTTTATGGTAAGAATGAATTCATTATAATGCATTGTTTTAAGAATATACCATAATCACATGTAATTTTTTTGATACAGAAAACAAATTACCTTTTCTTTGTCCAGATGTAAGATATTGACTGAAGATGATTTGTTGGGTTGTCGGGGAACAAATGATTCACAATACTTTTTTTTATGTGTAATTGCTGTTTCACAGGCTTTTATACTCAGAGGTAAAAGTACAGTTCTTGAGGGAAAACTTGGTTTATGGATGTCTAGTATGAAAAAGCTCAGATTTAATGTATCAGCTACTGGCAGCTTCAATGTAAAAATATCTAAATATATAATTGCATGAAAACAATTCTCTATACTCACTGTTTCGTTGTGCCCCCTGCCTCTCTGCATCTGTTTCTCATCTCTTTTTTTTTGTGTCTGAATAATGGTTGCTGCTGCCTCTTTTGTCTGAGCTGAGAGTGGAAGTGGACGGGGCCTGACCTCCCCTCCTCCTCCACTTCATCACCTCGTCTCTTTCTCCCCCTCCTCCTCCTGCCATTGCCTCTCTTTCAGAAGTTGAAAGATGAAAATCTGAGGTATGTTAGTCATTTTCTTGGCAAGCGGCACCACACGACTAAGGCATCACGATAAGGAGGGGTGTGTTAGAGAGACAGAAAGCAGCTTGCTGAGCGTATGATGTAGGAGTTGAGTTTGCCTGGCAACAGGTGAAAAGAAAGAGATGAGACTGTTGATGGTGGTATGGTTTGAGCTTTTGTCACTGCTGTTACCACCGCTCTCCTCTTTCTCCATCTGCTCCATCTGCCCCCCCTTTGTCATCCTTTGCTTGCTTTTGAAGTGTGGATCACTTTTACCTGTTACTTATAAGTAAACAAGTCACCATCATAAAAAATGCATGGAGCTGATCTGCAATTAAAAAGGCCTCAGGCTTGATGTTGTTGACAGTTAAGTATCAGTGACATCAGACATCTGAACAGCGCAGGTTCACTGACTTTATCTCCTCACATTTTGTTTTGCTGCACATGGTGTTACATGTGCATTGTATGTTTGTTGTCTGTCTTTGTGAGGGGTGGGCTTTGGATGAGGCTCGCCTGATGTCAGAAGGTGATGTGGGTGTATGAGTCATGATGGGGGTGGTGGCTGCTGGGCTGGCGGTTTGGAGCAGATGGTTACAGTCGCCATGGAGGGGGATCACACTTAGAGGTAAAGTGAGATATGCTGTTCATTCAAAGGTGGCTGATTGTTGCTCTCCACTAGGCAACTTACAAGGCAACTCTGCATAGTTGAAGTTCCAGCAAGAGGCAAATAAAATTGTTTAAAAGAGGCTTTTTCACTGTGGCAGGAATAAACTCTTGAGGAGATGAATGCATTTCAGTGTTTTGAATTAATACATTTAAACATTTCCACTCCCACCAGTTTCCATAAATGGATCTTGACGCAGCCGTGCTTCACATTGTTTGGACATAAACCAGCCGAGATTTGTTTTGCATTTGCTCTGGCACTGGCAATGTCATCCACTGCCAAAACAGCTTTTTCGGCCTTAAACATAGCCATTGCACCTTTTATATAGTGTTTTTTTGTGACCCAGTATAATCAACCAATTGATTTATGATGTGCTTGGTGAAATTTATTTAGTTTATTTAGCTCTTAACTTAAGGTATGTATTTAATTGCTTCGTCAAAGAGAGTTTTATTCAGCCTGTGAAAATAATTGCATAATGTCCTCTGTATATCTGAGGAAACTTTTCATGTTGATGTCATCAGGATTATTTTAGATTATGTCAGTTTGGGCAGAAACCTTGTGTTTCAAACTGGGGCATAGTTTTTGAAAGATGTGGGCATTTACCTGGCATGGGAAGTCTGTTGAAAGCTGCAATTGAGCTGCATTATAGGAAATGTGGGATTCAGCATTTTGTATCTTTACTCACAATAGACTACAAATTGTTATATCTCTGCCTCTGTGTGTTGATATTGATCCCTCTTTTTTTTTTTCAATATGTCTGGTATATTTGTGGAAGTGCATTCATTACTGGACTACTCATTTAATTATGTTATTTTCTACTAATTTCTTCTAATTCAGGGAGAGATATTTTAATCTTCTTTTCATTAGATTTGTATTAGAATAATATGATTAATCACTTATTTATTTACTGTCTGTGCCACTGTCTGTCATTATTATCAACGCTAATTGTAAATAATTTTGTTACATCTAGTCTATGGTACACATCCTTCTTACTTGATAAAATCAAAGCTGTGGTGGGGAAATACTTTAGTTAGACAAAGACAACTTTGTTCCTATTTTTTTTCTGTCTGAACTAGTTCATTGCGGATATCAGAAGCTCAGGACATTCCTGCATCAACTTAAATGGGGAAAATATTCATCACAAAAAATAATCAGTAGAGGGGTATAAACATATTGTCCACTAATTCAACTAATTTTAAGAGTGAGCAGAGTGATGACACACATCAGAGTGCAATGCAGAGAGATAAAAAGAGGTCCTCCTTGAGGGAAAAGGGCAGCATTTATCTCACAGACTGGCCTATTTTATATATCTTTACTGGATCTGGGAGGATTTGATAGCACTCCCTAAAGGCTTCTGCAGGTGGAGTTGCTGCTTTATAGTGGAAGCGAGCCACTACCACTTACTCTTTTAAGAAGCTGGTTTTCGGCTCAAACATTGTTGCATGACGATTGTAAGTGTTATTTTTTTATAGATTAATTTCATAACGACTATGACTAATTGTAAGTATAAGCCAATACTGTCAGACAACAAACTTTGTCAAGCTAGAAAAGGTGATAGTTCCTGCAGGATTCCTGTAAGACAATTGGTTGACATTTTTGATAATTGATTATTCTTTAAGATGAATTCAGAAAGTCCGATGCCAGATTACTAAAAGTTCAATGCAGTTCATCACTTTAAAGATGAATTTTACACCAGGCAGAGAAGACTTGTTTTACTGACTTTTTCCCCAACACTCACTGTCACTGTGGGGGTATGATTAACTCTGTTGCACCTGTAAACAGTGATGTCAAAATGACAAGTGTTGACTGTTGTGTTTATATTTTCTCTAGTTACGGACCTTGCTAGAGATAATTTAAAAAGACAGGATCAGCAACAATAAAAGTGATGGGACAAAGTGAGAAGAAGATCTCACCATCTAGTTTGGTCTGGCTTCAAATCTGTTACATCCTGTGGTTTATCACAGGATGTAACAGAGCCCATCCTTCATTCTTCTAATGGACCCAAAATATTTCCAAACCAACAGAAAGGCATTATTTTTTGAGTATCATAAGCTATAAATTTTCTTTCCTCTACTGAAATTCATAGTAAGAATAAAACACAGACGTTTCCATATAAAATACTTAGAAACAATGGTTTCAGTGTCATTTTTATTTGTAAAATATTCACATTGAAAAGTAATAGGCATTGTTGTGGCACTGGCTTCACAGAGGCTCACAGCACTAACAAACACACAGTTTATTTAGTGCACATGCATCATGCTAGATTCAAAGCCCTTACAATATTCACGGTTCTTTGCACTTAAACTCAACTTGTTGACATAATGTGAGAAACAGTTTCATGTTGCTTCGGTGTGATTTGGATGTGAAGTTTGTTAGTACAACCAGAACAACATCAGTGCGCTGTTTTTTTCCCTCCAGGCGCCAGAAAGGCTAATAAACTAAACACAAGCTATTAAACCAGCTAAACACAGCACACACAGTGTATAGCAACACGCACACACACGCACAGATTGTAGTAAAAGCTGAATGGCACAACAGTGCACATCACGGCTGGTTTTGAGGGCTTTTGCAGCTGTTGACAAAGCAGCAGAAGCAGTTCTCATACAGAAACAAATCCACTGATAAAGCTGTCGATGTTCAGAATCTCAATTTGATCCCTTCGTCTTCTCTATGGAAGGATTCACAGTTGGTTTGTCTTTCACATTACAATTACTTTTTGTATTACATCTCATCACATTCAATTTAGATAACATAAATGCTAAATTGATCTGGATTATTCTATACTAGCTTACAAAGCAGTGCAAAGATTGATGTCAACATGCCATTCTCTTGATAAAAATCACCCAAAACTTATCAAATCATATTTTTGTAAGTCAACATTGTGTAGTAAAGATATAAAGACTGTCCTGTTAGACAGTACAATCTACCTGTTTTCCTTCTCCCACCCATGACACATTACATATTACAAGATCTTCAAGCCAATGCCTCACATTAGCAGGGTGGATATGGAATCAGGCACTACTCTTTTCTCTCTCTGCCTCTCCCTCTCCTCCTCTCTCTGATTGCTTCCATCCTACTTGACAAAATGCAGCGCCTCAGCTGCCACCACGGAGCCTTTGCTGCTGTCGAGGCTGGTGACCAGCTTGAAGCCTGATCTCAATGCTAGCATCACCGTCTCTAGTTTCAGACAGTCAAGCGTGCACAAGAATGTGCTGTCCTCCTTCAGAACGAGCCGTGAGCCGGGCTCCGACTTGATGAAGTGTCGGAACTGGATCACGTTGGATGACACCACAAATTCTTCCGGAAAGCCATCAAGGCGGCTCTTGGAGATCTGAACCAGCCGCCCTTTAACCTTGTCGATAAAGCCGGGGTCACTGCAGTACACCTTGAGGCCCTGCGACCTCTCATGGCTATCTGTCACCTCCAAAAAGGCAGGTTCTCGCTGGGCTGCCCTCTGACTTTCCCAGTCAACCACGGCCTCCACCAGTTCACTCAGATGGTAAAAATTGGCCTCCCGTCGCAGGAGGGCCGCCTCCCGGAAGTCGTCAGGTAGCTGGAGCTCTCCGGTTCGCAGGTAGTTGAGCACATGGCGAAAAACTGGACCATCTCTATCAATGAATGGGTTGCCCATGGAGTCGGTGTGCTGAACTGGCTTCTTACCGTTGGCCAACTCTTCCAGAAAGGACCCCTGGTGCTTGGCAAGTGTGGTCCGGTGGGCAGTGTACAGAAATCCCCCTACGTTGAGGGTGATGGTGCCTGAGGAGGGCTTCTTGAAGCTCTTGCTGGGCTGCAGCAGGTCTGGGTTGATGTGCCTCAGTTCACTTTCCATCCTTCTGAGGTTCCATTCCATTCTCCAGTCACCGTCTCCAGCCTCGACCCAGCCTCCTCAGAGCTGGTGTTTGCGTGTGTGTGTGCAGTACAAATCAAGCCTCTTTTTTCACCCTCTTTTGGATCTGGCTGTGTGAGTATGTGCTACTGCTGAGAAAATGAAAAGGTGTTGTCAGCTGTCGTGTAGTGAGAATGAACGTGTTTGAGACCATGTGATGGTGGATGGGTGAGTCCTGTCTGGCAGAAGAGCTACAGTGAACTAGGAGCAGAAAACAGACTGGCTCTCTGTGCTGCTCGGTGTCCCTCCTCCTCTCGCTTCTCTCTCTCTCTTCTCTCTCCCTGTCTTCTCTCTCTGTCTCTCTCCCCCTCAGGAGTGGGTGGGCACACACAGCGTCACATGCAGGGAGGAGAGAGAGTGAGCAAACAACTGAAGACTCCAGGAGCTTTTTTTCTTTCTTGCTCTCTTTCCCTAATTATCTTTGATAAAAAAGGTGTGGAGCTGAGCTCTAGCAATTAGCACACACACGCACACATGCACACACACCCACAAATGCACACACACCCACACTCCCTCCTGTCACCAGATGGAGGGAGGGTTGCTTCCATCATTTTTGGTGTGAAACTGTCGCAGCTTGTTTCAGTCTGAATATGAAACTCCTTTTGCAGCCAAATCCATCTGTTTACCACACAGCACTTCATGTGAACTGGAATCTGTTTGAAAAGGAATCCAGTTTAATTCAGGGGTTTACCGGCATGCTCTTTTTGTGTCATCTCTGCTTATGACAGGGAGAAGTAGCCTGCTAGTCTTACTTATGTAAATGAAAGCAACAGGAAAATGCATTTATGTAAATATCCTGTTTTCCTTTTTGCAGAGTAACAAGCAGTCCTCTGTCTTAGCAAATGTTGCCTGTGCATTGATTTGTGTGTGTGTGTGTGCGCACACGCATACGTGCGCTGGCTTTGGGCGGCTGTGGAAATGGACTAATTACAGTCGATGGTGGTCTGGTCATGAAGGACAGGTTTTGAATAATATTCCCCCCCTCAGGGAACGGCACTAGACGGGTAATTTGGTACTAACGACTCATTCCACTACTGTGTATGTGTTTCACGTCACTGTGTCTCTGCTAGTGCAACTGCGGATGCGTACAACACATTTCATGTTACATGTTATGTGTAGTGCTGCGTAAAAGATACACAAACATCCATTTCAAGAAGAACAAGGAGCAACAGATGGTCTGGCCTCCCAGAGTCCTGATCATAATGTCATGGAAGCAGAGAGAGTAATTGATCTCAAAACTGAAGAAATGATCATTCAAATGGCTATAGTAGATAGATGCAGATAGATGGATAGATACTTTATTTATTTAAATGAATGTGTCCATTAGCTCATTGTTGGTAATAATAATAATAATAATAAAAACAGTTAATAATAAATAAACAATAATAATTAGATTAGTCCACTTCCTTTGGCTGAGGTGTTGTATAGCCTGATGGCAGTGGGAACAAAGGATCTACTGAACCTCTCTGTTCTGCAGCGCAGTGAGATGAGATGTTTGCTGCAGCTGTAGCTGCTTCTCTTTCCTGCCAGAATCTTATGGAGCGGGTGGTTGGTATTGTCCAAGATGGCCTCCATCTTACATTGCATGCGTCTCTCCACAATAGTCCTGAGTGAGTCCAGACTCCTGCCAAGCACAGACCCAGCCTTTTTTACCAGCTTGTCCAGTCTCCTTGTGTTCATGTTGGACATGCTGCTGCCCCAGCAGACTGCAGCATAAAAGAGCACACTGGCCACCACTAACTGATAAAACATGTGCAGCATTTCACTGCAAACATCAAAGGACCTGAGCCTCCTGAGGAAAAAGAGCCGGCTCTGCCCCTTCCAGTAGATGGCATCTGTCTTCAGGGACCAATCCAGTTTACTGTCCAGGTGCACACCTAAGTATTTGTGTGTGCACCACCTTAATGTCCTTCCCTCGAATGTTGACTGGCTGAAGGGTGGGCCTAGACCTCCGAAAGTCGATGACCATCTCCTTGGTCTTGGAGATGTTCAGAAGGAGGCAGTTCTTGTCACTCCATTCACTGAAGGCCATCGTCAGATCCCTGTACTCCTTTTCCTGCCCATTCCTGATACGCTCCACAATAGTTCTGTCATCTGAGTATTTCTGGATGTGGCAGGACTCAGAGTTGTATTTAAAGTCTGCCGTATACAGGGTGAACAGGACTGGAGCCAGAACAGTTCCCTGTGGAGCCCCAGTGCTGCTCATCACTGTCCCTGAGACACAGTTACCCTGCCTGACGTACTGTGGTTGTCTTGTCAGGAAATCCACAATCCAGGACGTGAAGCAGGGATCCACCCCCATCCCTTCTAGCTTGTTTTTAAGAATGGGGAGCTGGATGGTGTTAAATGCACTTGAGAAACATAATCCTCATTTAACCACCTGGCTCATCCAAGTAAGAATAGGCCCGGCAGAGCATGTAAAGGACGGCATCATCCACTCCAATATGTTCTTTGTAGGCGAACTGTAGGTGGTCAAGTGCATGTTCAACCTGTGGCTTCAGAAGGTGGAGAAGCAGCCGCTCCAGGGTCTTCATTACGTGTGATGCAAGGGCCACCGGTCTGTAGTCATTTATCTCAGCTGGTCATCCTACTTTAGGGACCGGAACAAGACATGATGTTTTCCACAGGACCGGGACCCTCCTTGTTTGTAGGCTTAAGTTAAAAATCCTCTGGAGAGGCTCAGCCAGCTGGACTGCACAGTCCTTTAACAGCCTCGGACACACACCATCCAGGCCTGTTGCCTTTCCTGCCTCTTGAGCTCTGCCCTCCCCTCCTCCATTGTAAAGGACAGGAGACTTGACCCCATTGTGGAGGGAGTTGCAGCTGCAGTGTCAGGTTGTGAAGGAGATGCCGTAGGAGAAGCTGCAGCTGAAGCAGTGGGAGAGAGAATGGCTGAGGCTGTGTAAAACCTGTTGTAGAACAGGTGGAACTCATTGGCCTTGTCCACATAACCTAATGTTGCCTGGCTGTAGTAGTGAATGATATGTAGCATAGTCTTCCAGTCTTGTGTTAGTATTGTATTAGCTAGCATGAGATGCTTTCTATGTATCTACTGGGAGTGTGAGTGCTTGTCTGGCTGCTTTAGCAATCACACAGTGAGTTAATACATTTTTTTAAAACCTATCATCAATTTTAAAAAGACCCCTATCTTTCCATCAATGTTTTTCTACCTTATATCATGCAAGTCACTTACTGACTGCAGGTTTCATAGGTCGTTGGGTACCACATGCTTTTTGCCATGTTTTTTTTCATGTTTCTTTGTGTTTCTATTATGGAAATTACAAAAACTATGAGGGAAGAGGTAGAAAACAGCACAAAATACATGCTCTTATGTTAAATTCACTGTACTGTACAGTATATTAACTTGCACATTAAACCTGCACACTAATGTTTGTTGTTTATGTATGTCTCCAACAACTCTGCTGCAGAAATATTTTCGTGCAGATGATTTGTAACCTACTTCAGATGTTTTTTTACACTAGAGAATCAATGCCAGTGAATTTGCATTCCTTTTAATGGGTAGAACCTTGAGCATATCCCGGCTCATGGTGGGCGGCCGTCTGCCTCAAGCGGTTGTATCTCGTTTTACATTTTAAATTATTTCTAATTTATTTGGAATGTTTTTCGTTTTTTTTACAGATTTATTTTTACATGTCTTCGTTCAAATTACCTTAATAAATTCAACCCATATTATTATGGGTTCCCTAATTTGTAGATTTTAAACGGCTTTTATAAATTAATTGTGGTATTGCCATTTCTCTGTTAGTTCATCCCCTTGTCGTTATTTCCATTGTGTAATTTGACTTGAAATCATTTGTAAAAAAAAAAAAAAAAAAAAAAAAATAGAAGTGTGGAAAAAGGTCTGGACTCTAGTACAAGCGCTTCAGCAGTAGCTGTACAGGCTGGTGATTAATTTTTCTGTTTGCTGAAATCACACTTACTTCTACCAAGGCACTTAGCAAGAAGAAGAAGTGTCTTGTGTTGAGAAAAGCCCTGTAACTGTACAGTCTTGGTGATGCTCAGGTCTGCCCTCTTGGCACCAACGATCTCGCCTTTTAAAGTCTGTTAGATCTCACTTGAGGGGTCCGTTCAAATGCAAAGTAGGTGTGGAAATGAAGGTGCTTTTACTTGCACCTGTTTTTTAGCAACAGAAATGAAAAAGGAAGAAATGTTTATATTTTTCTGGACCCATTCTTCAAAGAGGCTAAAATGACCCTATTCTGAAATATACAGTATGTATTTCTTAATAGAACATATTCAGTGAGATAATTGTACAGTCATTCCAAAACACGCCTCAGAAGGTGGCCTCCTCTCCGACAGACAACTCATAATCAAACTGAGAGCTCCTCAGTGCATAAATTTGCATTTAGAATGAGCAAAATACATTTTACAAGCTTTTATTCTTAAGCTTGTGAGTACGATGAAAAGTGAGGGATTTTAGCTATGATCTTTGATCCGAAATGTTACCTTTAGCAGTATGATAAGTTTTGTCCCAGATCACATAACGTACACACAAACATGTCTGTTTTTGTATATGCCAATACAACAGAAACATTTTCAGAATTTGAGAGTTAATACATTCATGAAAGTCATCCCTTCTCATTTCCCCTCAATAATGAATTAGAACAAAATTAGCATTAAATTAATGAGATTCTGTGGACTGCTTATTCTTCTTAACACAAACAGTTAGCAACAGGTGTGTTACATTTGTGCAAGAGGTTATCATCCAGTTACACATCAGAGCTATTGCAGAAGAGTATTGGGAACAATTGAAGATTCATTTGAACTGAAATGCACTTCAAACGCAGTGACTACAGTCATATTTGATACTCAAATGCTGCTTTTCTTTCTGTGGCTGTGTGTGTTTATCTGGGAGAAGTCCCAAAGCGACAGCTCTCTGCCTCTGCAGCGATTTTCTAATCATAAGTGATTAGTGGTATCATCATCAACAACACTCGATTGGAATTGCAAACGAGGCCAAGATGCAGCAGAGAGGATTGTGGGAGGTTTGACCTGCTTTCTGCCTCCTGTTCATTAAAACTGGCTGATTGAGGAAGATTGTTATCTTCAAAGTCAGTGAGAATCTGTTTGTCACAGCTGTTGCGTCTCTTTACTGACAGCTCAGGACATTTGAATGAAAATTTCCCAAAATGCTGTGAGCAAGGACTCTCCTTCTCTCTTAAAGGTGGTGAATTATTCATAGAGCTGCTCTTAGAGCTTGTGGTGTAACACGGAGCCACTGACTGC